TGGACCGCGCCGCCCAAACTTTTCTCCGCCCGGGCCCACTCGGGGCGCGCCGCGGCCTCCGCGCCGCCTGCCCGCCTGTCTCACCTCACACTCGCGGCTCAGCTTCCTGAAGAACTCCTCGTTCTCGAACTTGCTTCTCTGGTCGGGCACGACGCGCGGCATCTTCCCGCCCTGAGGCCGCGCCGGCCGGCCGGGCTCGGAGCTTGCGCGGGGACCCGCTGGCCGTCTCCGCGCTGACCAACTGACCGCCCACCAGCGGCGCCTGGACTCCCGCTTCCCTTTGTTTAAGGCGCCCGCCCGCGTTGGGCTCCCGCTCCCGGGAGTCTGAGGTGCAGCTGCCCGCTCGAGCCCAGACCACGCCGCTGCCGCCTCAGCCGTTGCCTTTAGCCCGCTCAGACGACGCGCCTTCTTCCATTTGCTCGCCCGCGGGCCACTCAGTGTGGAACTGCCCTGTGTGGATTTGCACGGCCTTTGGCAACCGAGAACGACCTGTTCGGGTCTTTTCTTCAGCCCTTCCTCGGCCATCTGGAACTTCTGGACTTCCTAGCCGCGCGGAGTAACCCCAGATTGTCCCTTGAACGCTAGGAAACCTAACTCCTTGGGAATTTTGCGTGCCCAAATCAATGCGGAGGAGTGTAACCTGTGCACATTGAAGCCTAAATGTGGAAGCAGACCAAGAATCCGCCCAAATCATGGTGGAAAGGTCGTGGCTGTTGGAGTCAGACGAGCCTTAGATGGGATCCCACTTAGCTCCCCTACCTGCCGGCTGGGCTCCTAGACAAGTGCTGGACGGCTAAGCCTCAGTTTCCTTATTTCCAAAATGCAGACACTCATACGTTCGCCCGCCATGTTAGCATGAGAGCCTTTATGTAGGTCTGCACATAATGGGCGCTCAATAAATTTGTTTCTAAAGAACAAGCTGAGTTATATATAAACCATATCCAGTCCATATATTTACCCAAATGTGCAATCAAATCCAAAAAAACAAGATCCACAAGTTCTAGGGAAGTCTTTTAGCCAGAGCTGGAGAAAAGTCTGACACAGAGTTTATGGCAGAGCTTGAGTCAAAGTTGGCCCCCAATAAATCCTGAACCTTAGCATTCCAACTTGTTAAAAACTCAGTCATGGGCCGACCCGTGGCGCACTCGGGAGAGTGCGGCGCTGGGAGCGCAGTGGTGCTCCCGCAGCAGGTTCGGATCCTATATAGGGATGGCCGGTGCGCTCACTGGCTGAACGCGATGTGGGTGACACCAAACCAAGGGTTGCGATCCCCTTATCAGTCACAAAAAAAAAAAAAAAAAAAGAGAAAAAGAAAAAGAAAAAGAAAAAAAGGACAAAAAACTCAGTCATGGGCCGGCCAGGTGGCGCACTGGAGAGTGCGCGGAGCGCGGCGGCGCTCCCACCGAGGGTTCGGATCCCATGCGGAGACCGGTTCCCGCTCACTGGCTGAGCGCGGTGCTGATGCAACACCGAGGGTTGCAATCCCCTTACCGGTCAGTAAAAAAGACAAAAAGGAAAAAAAAAAAAAACTCAGTCATGACCGACTGGATGGTTACTCGGTTGGTTAGAGCACAGTGTTATAACACCAACGTCAAGGATTCATATCCCCATACCGGCCAGCCACAAATAAAAACAAATTAGTCCAACGATGGCAAATAGATGCCAAGTCTTTGAAGGGGAGGGTAAGGGGGGGAACGGCTGGCCAGTAAGGGGATCCGAACCCTTGATGCCAAGTCTATTTGCCAGTAACTGTCCATATTGCAAAGAACTGTGAGGATACACGATCTCAGAGGAATCAGTGCTGAGGTCAGTTGGCAATATCTGCCTGAGTGCGGGGTTTGGCAGAATTTCCCATCCCTGTTCAGTCCAATCTTGTTTTTACAGATGCAGAACTGAGCAAGCATGACCAACTATCCTGGTTTGCCAGGGACTATCCTGGTTTTAGCAATGAAAGTCTCATGTCCCAGGAAACCACTCACTCCCTAGCAAATCAGGATAGTTAATCATCCTGAGGTCCAGAGAGTGATTGCTCAAGATCAAGGAGGTAATTCTCAGCAAAATCAAACCTGGTAGTCTGGTAGGCTGGTGGTTTTGACAGACATACTCCTGATGAATAGCAAATATAGAATCAGCCCCTTCTTAGGGTGTGTTCCCCTGCCCAGACCAAGCCTGTGTGAATGTGTGTGTGTACACCAACAGGAAGGGTATAATATGGATGTCACCAACTACTATTGTTGGGTCTTCTGCTGTCTCAGACTCTTTCCCTCAAGGGCCAGCCCGTGGCTCACTTGGGAGAGTGTGGTACTGATAACACCAAGGCCACAGATTCGGATCGCTATATAGAGATGACTGGTTAGCTCACTTGTGAGAGCGTGGTGCTGACGTCACCAAGTCAAGGGCTAAGATCCCCTTACCTGTCATCTTAAAAAAAAAAAAAAGAATGTTCTGTTCCCCGTAAGTCTCTTTCAATTGCAAATGACAGAAACCCAGTTCCAACAAACTTAAAACTAAAAGGGGTCTGTTTGATTTCAAGTAAACAAACCAGCGAGAGGGACAGATGGGATAGTACTATCTTTTTCTTTTCTATTTTTCTGTTTCTTCTCACAGCTTAATTCCTTCATGTTCTCCTGGATGGCATTTATTTCCTGGAAAAGGTTGGGAGCAGCCACTCTTCCATTTCCAAGTCATAAAATTACCAGCCTGGGTCACATACTCTCCCCTCTGCCAAATCATTATATCACTGGTGTGATACGATTGGTCAGCTTATGTCACATGCCCTTCCATCAGGGGTTGGGGGCCTGTGATTGGCAGCCTTAGAGAGAATCTGATGGTTGAAAGAGCAGAGCAGTGTCCTGAAAAGGTGGGAGTGAGTGGGAATGTATTGATAGCCCACTGAACAGTTTGTATCAGCTACATCTGGCAAAGGATGCCGTTTTTATTTTGCCACATTAAAGTTCTGGTCAAACTAGTGGAGAAACTCCACATCAGCACACGCAAAGTGTGGACAAAACTAGCCTTAAATATCTGCAACATATGTTGGAAGGTAAGTGAGGCATCCTCTACCCCAAGACACCAACAGAGCTAAGTCACTCACAAGGAGTAGAAGCTTTCATGTATCCGCTGCCTCTCCCTCAAGTCTTCCACTCCATCTAAGAAGACCTTTGGATACTAGGACAACACACCCATTGCTTAAATGAGAAGATGATGATTTTGCTCCCTAAACAAGGACTGTCTGAAGACCTGCAGTCAGGGCTCACTGGTGGAGTTTCTGCTGGTCATTCTCATGGTAGGAAAGAAAGAGTAAAATATATCCCAGGGGTATCCTATGTGATGCCATCAAACCACCACATTTGGTTTAGGGAGACATTTATATGAAACTTTCCCTTTCTGTCTTTAAAAAGTGATCCATGGGGCCAGCCCGTGGCTCACTCGGGAGAGTGTGGTGCTGATAACACCAAGGCCATGGGTTCGGATCCCATATAGGGATGGCCGGTTAGCTCACTGGGTGAGCATGGTGCTGACAACACCAAGTCAAGGGATAAGATCCCCTTACTGGTCATCTTTATTTTTATTTATTTATTTATTTTTTTGTCTTTTTTTCGTGAAACTGGTCATCTTTAAAAAAAAAAAAAAATGATCCACCAGGAAGCACTGTTATTCCGCAATGGGTCCAGGTGAGGCACATAGACCTGCTGCTGATCTTGGCTTTTAGACTCTACCAATCCGTTACTGCCATGGGAAATGTGGAATAAATAAAAGTTGGAAGATCTCTAGAATGGCCTACATGGTCAGATAGACACCATGAACTTTGGGAAGGAAAGGTCAGGGATTTGAGATAAAGCTCTTATAAGTTCAAGGGAGGTAAACCAGGAGGGGTGGGAACAGGACAGGGCATTCTAATTGTCAGCTTTATGGGGGTAGGGAGCCATGTCCTAAGGGAAAGGGATGGCAAAGCCTGCCAAGCAGACCCAGACCAGCAGTACCACAGGCAGCCTTTGGCAACTCCAGGCCACAGGGTAACCCACACTCAGAGTTGTCTGGCATCCAACTGGCCAGGATGACTGGGAAACAAGCTGAAGACTGAAGGATGCCATTTCCTCAGCTGACCTTTGTGTGCCTTTGTTGTTGTTGTTGTTTAAAAATTTTTTAAACATTTTTTAAAAAAAGATTAAAGGAAATTTATAAAGGAAGTTTTCACCCATGTCAGGTTCTTTTAGGTCTGAGTTCCTAACACCAGTGGCAGCTGTCCAGCTGGGTATGGGTGGTCAAGACACCACCCTATGGAGGGGTTTGCTAAGATCCAGCTCTACTAAGGCCCACAGACGGAGGCTTGGGTGTCTCTTTGCTGAGAAACACCCTCCCCCCACAACTCCAAAACCTGGCTGAATTCTCTGAAGCCCTGCTGCTGCCTGGACCCTTTCTTTCCTAAGGATATAGCCAGCCCAGGGCCTCCTCTGAGCACCTCCCTACCTTCCTGGGTGGGTGGCTGCTCTTGCAGAACCCCTAGACTGATCTTGAGTGGGTGGATAGATAATATACAATAAGGCTGAGCAGTGGATGGGGAACCCTCAATTGTCTAGCCCATCTGTGAAGCCCAGAGCTGGGTGCCTTATCTCAGTGAATTCACACAGCCACCTTCTAAGTCAGGTCTTTCTGTACCCGTCTGAGAGATGAGAAAATAGAGGCTCTGAAAAGGTGAAAAAGTGACCAAAGGATAGACAAGACCCCAACCCATTAGAGATAACAAAATGGCTAAGCATTGGGTACATCATCTTCATTCATTTCTCACCACAATCCTGCAAGTTTGGTGTCATTGACCATATTCTACAGATGAGGAAACTGAGGTTCCAAGGGGCTGAATGACCCCAGGGTTGTAGTTTGAACCATTGTACTCTAAGGCCTTTTCTGGTGGCAATGCCAAAAGTCCTGCCTGTCTCCCTCACTGAACTGTGAACTGGCAGAGAGCGGTGGCTGGGGTCATTCCTCCTGGAGCACCCATCATGTTCCAGAAGGGTTTCCAACAGGTTAAATAAAAGGGTCCTATTGTTGGCCTTGTGGCAGGATGTGGCTCTTGCCCTTGAGGGTTGTACGTTCCTGCCTCTGAGCCCAACTGTTTGTCCCTCCTTGGCTTGGAAAGTCAAGGCCTAGATGTCCTTCCTCCCTGGTCCAGAAGAA